CTGTGGGGGGGGCTGTGGATGGCAGCTTCCCCTCCTCTGGCCTCACCGGGGGGGATGGAGAGGCGGGCACAAAGGGGTAGGAGGTGGGGGAGGAGGGGGGAGTGGTGGGGGTGGGTCTCTCTGTGGGACCTGTGTGTGGAGGGGTGGAGGATGGGGGGGGGCTGATCTTGAGGGGAGTGGGGGGGGCAGAGGTGGAGGTAAAGGCAACAGCTGGAGGAGTTGTAGACAGCACAGCTGGAACACGAATGCCTGAAAAATCAGAGAGAATAAAAGCAGAGAAAATAGACTTTTTAGGGTTTTTAGCTCCGTTAGATGTCGTTCTACTCTCTAAAGTCATGCTTTGAACTCAAATAATACAAACAAGAGGATCTGTAAAGGATCTTAAGCCTACTATCAATACATATTCTGATTATGAGGGACACAGAATGTCAAAAGCTGAGACTGAACACTGAAATTTGATTTAAAGACATAATCTATTTAACTGGTCTGTCATTTAGATCAGAAGAACCCCAGAACCAGGAATTACTGGTTAAAAATGTGCTTTTTTTAAAGAAAGAATGCTTGATATAAGACCTAAAACAGACACAGAGGGACGATTTTTAAGAAGATATTCAGAAAAATAACCTTATTTAGTTTGTTTTGTTTCTTTTAAACTAAAAAAGTATTTATTTCTGGTTGACGCCTTTTTTCTGAAATGGATTTATAAGGTTTTAGAAAACAATTAAGAATAAAAAGACTCTTACAGTCTTCAACGTGGACACAGCGGCGGGTGACCTCGTCCAGGACCATGTGGGGGGGGCAGACGGGAAGACAGCCCTCCACTCTGTAGAGGAGGAAACAAAGTGTGAACACCTCAGCCAAAAGACGACAGAAAAGTTAAAAGCGGGTCAGCGTTAGCAGAACCGACGTCTATTCTGAAACCTCCTGTCATTTTATAAAAAAAGCTGCATCAGGGATGGAGAATTCGTGGTTCTGGAAACAGGATCATGAGTTCCTAGGAATCAGGTGAATGTATGTTGAGTTATTTTCTGATGAATCCACAGACAATTGTGGTGTAAACGCAGCATAAAGAAGGATATCACCTGAAGAATTCTCCAATTTTGGACCCGATAAATTCATATGGATCATATTTAAAGCATGAAGGTTCTGAAATCTTTTCCATTGGAGGCATTCTGACTTAACACATGATAATAAATTGTAAATATACGACAATTATTTCTGCTAAATCTCCCCATATTTTGCAAAATACAGACTTCAGACTAAAATTATTTACAATTGTCACTCTGTTTTTTTGGATCAGGCTTTAAAGGGTTGAAGGTAACATGAATTTAATAGCTATTATAAACAGGAGGTCATCTTTGTAGAATCTTTAGCTCTGGGTGTAAATGCTGGTGCTTTCTCGCCCTCTCTCTCTCTCACCCCCCCCCTCTCGAGGCATCTACCCCCCCCCCCTCTCTGGTTCTGTCCCAGGTTTCTTCCCGCTAAAGTCAGTTGTTTCCTCCCTGTGTCTCCTAGTGCTGCTCTTGGTGGAACTGTTGTTCTTCTGGAAATAACTCAGAGTCTGAGCTGCTCTGTTTGGAAAGCTGGGAGATTCCTGTTTGAATAAACTGAATTGAATTGTCTACTTCTGAAGAATGGGATGTTTTAAGGCCTGACTGTGACTAGGTGCTGGACTCGGGGCGGGGGTCGTACTGTGGGATGGAGGGGCAGGCCTGGGCGGCCGGGTCGCTGCAGGTCCTGAAGCAGGGGCTGACACAGGCCTCGTACCTCCACTGGCACCGGGGGCTGGGGGGGGCGTCTGCGCGGGCGCCTGGTAAAACCCACAAAAACATTCAGTTTGGTCACAACATAATCTGTTATCATAATCCTTATTGATTAGAGAGCAAAACGCTCTCTGAGAGGAAAAGCTTTGTGCAAAATAGTGTGAATACAAAATTAAGAATCAAAACTGAAAACACTGGATAAAACATATTCTTTGGACCTTCTAAGTGTGATAATTAATCATAACTGGGGAGCAGTTATTAGTGTTAACAAGCCTTCAAAAAGCCTGAAAACCATAAAAGTGATGCTATTTCTTGCTTTTTAGGAGAAAAATTATAGTTTCTCATTTACAAAAAGAGGCTTTTGGGATCCCCCCCTAAAAAAGTTGATGTTTTGTGAAACGTACTGACAAACAGAAGCTAAACTGATAAACTTTTCTGGTAATGTAACTTAGATAAGCTGCTTAATAAATGGGAAGTTTATCCCAGAGCAGATGACTGGGCATGGTCTCTCTCTCTGGATGTCTTTGGCAGGAAATCCAACCTCCTGCTGGCTGCTCTGTCTTTTCCATTAAGTCAAACAAATACTGGGATATTCTTAGCATCAGTGATTAGCCCGACTGCTATGTGAGGCATGCTTTATGCTCCATCTGTCCACCGGAGGAGCAAACTGGAGACAGGACGGATCCTGAATGAGAAAGAATAACTATATTATTATTATTATGAATAATAATGCAGTTGGGAATGAAGAGAGGAAGAATTAAACTTCCCAAAGTGTTGGATTAGAACTACTCTGAGACCAAATGTTTTCTTATAAAGCCTAAAATTGTGATTTTTACTTAGATTAAATTAGAAAAAAGTGAAAGTGCACGTTTTAAGTGAGATCTCATCACATTTTTCAAGTGTTCAAACCAATTGAAGACATTTTCATGTAGTCTTTCAAGTATTTTACAGCAGGAAACAGATTTTTTGGTGGCGTCTGTGCTGCCCACCGGTCAGTCTGAAGAGCGTGGCCCTGCGGAAGCTGTGGGCGTGTGTGTATCTGAGCAGGCGGAGGCGGGGCGCCGCGGCGTGCAGGAAGAAGCCGGGTCGGGCCTGGGCCTCCAGCGAGTCGTAGCCCGGGATCCAGGTGTTCCTGTGCAGGACGAAGGTGGCTCTGTCCCAGAAGGCCGGGCTGTCCTCCCACTTAGCCAGCCGGACCGGGCCGCCCGGACCGGCCAGCAGGAAGTAGTTAGGTCTGTCGGCCGCCTCGAAGGAGACACGAGACATGTCTGCAGAGAAAATGAAGATTCAAGAAGCCTTTTTGTCCTCTTTTATATTTAAGCTAAAGCCAACTTAAACAACAGCTAAGCTAGCTAGCTAGCTAGCTAGTTAGTTAGTTAGTTAGTTAGTTAGTTAGTTAGTTAGTTAGTTAGTTAGTTAGTTAGTTAGTACTTTAAAATTGTTTTAAAAACTGAAATAGAAAATTTCCCTTTTCTCACTTCTGTACAGAAAATCACAATTCTAGGTGTTTTTAAATGTTCTGTATAGCGACTTCAGATAAAGTTTTTGTTGCAGATAGATAGATAGATAGATAGATAGATAGATAGATAGATAGATAGATAGATAGATAGATAGATAGATTGTACAGTTTCAGCCTTAATAAAACGCAACATATACAAACTGAGACACAGACATTTTTCCTACAGGCAGATTCAATTAACAGATCCGATAAGAGAAAAAAAAGGAACATGGATCAAATAAAAGCACCTCTGGTGGCAAAAGGCACTAAATCTGAAGCTTTTTAAAGCTTCATGACGGATAGCCTGACCCGGCTTGAGACTTTGTTCAGATCAAAGTTAACGAGAACAGACAGTTTAGGTCAGTTTTATCATTCTGGACATCTTTAGTAAAGCCAATGTCCTAAATCTCCCTAAACATCATCCAAAATTCAACACGCTAATGCTTGAAAGCTACAGAAAAGGACATTTTACTCCAAACAGTATTTTATTGCGTCTCTTTTAACAGAAACCTGCTGCTGAGCACTGTGAGTGAGGCTGAGTTCCATCTAAATGTTCACAGCCCGATAAGCTGGCTCCACTCCGGGCTCCCCGACCAGAAGCTGCTCGGGTTGCAAAACAAGCATTTGCCAATCTGATGTTTGGACCCTTCCACAAAGACTTCATCTACTACATCAGTGTTTTTTTAACTGGGGAGCTCAAATCCTTCCAAACGCTGTCAAAAGGCCCAGCTGGGTCGGCTGGAGTCTGAGAAATCTGAGCTAAGTCGCTGTAACCAGAGTCTCCTGCTCCGATAAGGGGAAATAACAGAACACCTTTATGTCATTTCTGTTGGTATGTGATTAGAAATAACTTAAACACGCTGTTCACAGTCATTTTGCTTCTGTTTATGGGATAAATACAGCTAATTCACTCTGAACATTAAGAGCCATAGAGTGGCTAATCAGCAAGAAAATAATAAATCTGTGTTTGAATGCTTCAAATTCCTTCAGAAAACGTCTCCAGCAAACTACCGACTGTGAGGAGGAAACAGTGAGAGATGTCTTCAGAATTTAGGTCAATAACTCCAAACACCCTGCGGAAAATAAGGGCCGTTTATAGATATGAACACTTTCTGAAATGTCCCCATTTAAGGACCAAAGAAAGGGCTCTAGCTCCGCCCATCTTAAAGAGCTATCCCAGAATGCTCAGCGGCACAAAGAAGATGGCGGAGGAGAGCGTGCACAGCCGTGAAATGTCTGCACGAAAATATTCAATTTGATTTCTGCTGTTAGTAAAATTCTTAAATATTGAAAAAATTCTATTTTGGGAGAGAACGTTGCAGACTGGTAAGTGGAGGATCAAGTTCTAATGGCAAAGGTCTGCTGGACTCTGGAGACTCAGCAGAATTTGCCAAAAAAATCGATTTCTAGACTTAGACTCAACTTCATTTATCCTTTGGGATTACTCCTTCAGGGTGTCAGAATGGTACTCAGGCAGGTCTCAGATGCGGAGATAGGAACCAAAAGTACTTTAATATAAATCAAAGCGCAGTGGCAGGGAGTGGAAGTATAAAATAATAATCACTCCAAAGAGGACAGACTAGAAAAGTAACAAAGATCACTCGTATCGAGACAGAAAAAACATAAAGTACCAAAATAATACTCACTTGAAGGTGAGAACGAAAAACAAAAAAACTAAAGGAGCAAGACATGGATAGCTATGGTTTGGTTCAGCTCAGTAACGACAAAACCCACTGGCACAAGACAAGGAGAGACACAGAATATTTAAACACAGGAAGGAAAGGAACCCCAGGTGAACACAGTCAGGGACCAGGGAAAACAATCAGACATGTGACACACAAGTGGCCTGAAACAAGGGGATGCACCTTTCAAAATAAAACAGGAAATAACAAGACAACCATGGAGACAGGACAAAAAAATAATAATTTGACTACACCGCTGTGACACTGGGAAACTCTGGTTCCACTAGCTTATATAGAGTACAACAGGCAGAGTTAAAGCAAGATGCCATTAAAGATAAAAATACAAAAGACAATAGAATTAGTTGACAGGTAAAAAAGAGCTGAAAAAAGTCTTAAAAAGAGCTGAAAAAAGTTTTTAAAAAGAGCAAACAAAGAGTAGAAACTAGAGAGCTACTAGAGGGCTGCCATCTCTTATGTGACATTTTCGAGAGAAAAATAGGCCATAGAAAAGTCAGTGATGGATTATGTCCGATTAGTCCGATTGGCCGTGATTAAGTCTGATGGCAGACGCTTTGAGGGGGGGGCTCACCGTGGGGCCGCACTCTGCTCAGGCCCGGCGTCATCATGAACTGGGAGAGGATCCCGGAGGAGCTGGAGCTGGTGTTGGCTCTCTGCAGGAACACGGAGCCGTTGGATCTGCTGGCAGCCAGCAGCACCGCCCCCCCGTCCCCGAAGGTGGAGAGCCGGTAGGGGCCTCTACCCAGAGCTGCACACAGGACACACAACAGATTATCCACCCTTCATCTGACTGATTCACCTTTTACAACATCCATCCATTATTGTAACCTCTGATCCCCTAATGGGGTCACAGGGAGAACTGGAGCCTATCCCAGTAGCCAATGGGGAGAGGCGGGGTCACCCTGGACGGTCC